TCTGTATGTCTATCCTATCCTCAGATATCACACTGTCTTTATTCTTATACCTCTAGAGTAAATCTTGAAATAAAGTAGTATGAAAACTCCATTCTTTTAAAACTACTTTGAAAATTATAGAACCTTTGTGTTTCCGTATATATTTTTAAATTGTCGATTTCTGCAACAAAAAAAAAAAAAAAAGGAAAGAAAGCTTGCTGAAATTTTGACTGTCAGATTACTTTGAACCTATAGCTCCATTTGGGTAGAATTGATATCTTAATGATATTGTCATCTTCCTATCTATGAACCTGGTATAACTCTGCATTTCTTTAGGTCTTTAACTTCTACCAGCAATATTTTGCCCTTTTCACTATAAAGATCTTACACCTTGTATTACTTTCCTAGGGCTACTGTAATAGATTATCACAAACAGGTTGGTTTAAAACAACAGAGATTTATTCTTACAGTTTAGGGGCCAAAATTCCACAATCAGGGTATTGGCAGGTTAGTTCTTTCAAGACTCTTTAAGGAAGAATCTGTTCCATGCCTAGCTTCTGGAGGCTGCTAGCAATCCTTGTTATTCCTCAGCCAACCTCTCTACTTATGTCTTCACAGGGCCTTCCCCTTCTAGGTCACAGTGTAGTCTCCTTTCCTGTCTCTTGTGAGGACACTGTCATTGGACTTAGGGAACAGCTGAATGCAGGATGATTTCGTCTCAAGATCTTTACCTTAATTGCATCTGCAAAGACCTTTTTTCCAAAAAAGGTCACATTCTGGGGTTCCAGGTAGACATATATTTTGGGAGCCACAATGGAACTCACTATATGCATATTTCTGAAAATTTATTCCTAAGTATTTTATGTTTTATGATGCTATTTCAAATGGTTTAAAATTCTTTGTTTCCAATGATTTGCTGCTAGTATTAAGGATATAATTAATGTGTATGTATTAATCTTATATCTTATGATTTTGCTAAATGCAATTATTAGTTCTGGTCATTGTTATATAGATTATTTTAGGATTTTCTACATAAATAAGCATACCAGTTATAAATAGAGGCAATTTTACTTCTTTTTCTAGTTATGCATTTTCTTTTTCTTGCTTTATTACAATTACTAGGATGTCCAGGGAAATGGTGACTAGAAGTGAGAAGAGCAGGCCTTTTTCCCAACATTAGGGGGAAATAATTTTATAATTAAGCATTAAGGATGATATTTACAATACATTTTTTTATACAATGCCTGTTATCAGATTGAGAAAATTCCTTTTTTATTCATAATATGTTGAGAGTTTTTTTTAAATAAAAAATGAATACGAATTTTGTCAAATAATTTTTTAAAGATTTTATTATTTATTTATTCATGAGAGACACAGAGAGAGGCAGAGGGAGAAGCAGGCTCCCCGCAGTGCAGGGAGCCCGATGTGGGACTCGATCCCACTGGGACCACAACCCAAGCTGAAGGCAGATGCCCTCAAATAATTTTTCTGCATCTAATGATGTGCTTTTTTCCATTTATCCTACTAAGATGATGAATTACCTTGATTTTTAAATACAAACCAATCTTACATTCCTGGAATAAATCCTAATGAGTGACCATGTTTTTATATATATATATGTTGCAAGATTTGATTTATTAAAATTTTGTTAGGGATTTTTGCATTTATGTTTATGAAGGATATTGGTCTGTGATTGCCTTGTAATTTATTTTCCAATTTTGATAAAAAAAATGAGTTAGGAAGTGTTCCCTCTTCTTCTATTTTTCAGAAAGGTTTGTAAGATTGGTGTTATTTCTTACTTGGATATTTGATAGGAATTACCAATCATACCATTTGGACCTGGAATATTCTCTGTGGGAAGGTTTAGATAATGGATTCAATTGCTCTGAGAGATATAAGGCCATTTCGATTTTCTGTTTCATCTGTGTCAGTTTTAGCAAGTGTATTTTTCAAGGAATTTGCTCATTTTATCTATGTCCTGGCCTAGTTCTTTTTATATGTTAGCCTAGATACCTTCTCCTCTTTTTTTTTTTTTTAAGATTTTATTTATTTATTTGAGAGAGAGAAAGCACATGAGAGGGGGGAGGGTCAGAGGGAGAAGCAGACTCCCCGCCGAGCAGGGAGCCCGATGCGGGACTCGATCCCGGGACTCCAGGATCATGACCTGAGCCGAAGGCAGTCGCTTAACCAACTGAGCCACCCAGGCGCCCGATACCTTCTCCTCTTGAAACTTTCCCAGATACCACCAAGAGAAGTAATTTCACATTCTTTGTGCCACTACTTTATCTGGTATCATTTGTACTCTCCACCTTCCTTTGTGGTTGTTTGCCCATATATCTCTTCGTATACTAAGTTAAGGGCCTTGAAGTTTAATGATTGCATCCTATATATCTTTGAGTCTCTGTCACCTTACATGGTGCTTGGCATAATAGATACCATCCACCCCCAATGTTTAATCAACCAATTCCATTTGTCATTGTCTAATTTTTAGGTACACACCCATGTTTCTACTTTCTCAGGAGATTATGAGCATCTTTTGCAAAAATGGAAAGTATTATTCAGTGCTCATATTCCTTCTATGTCTTATATTTAGAATAATTTTTAAAACTATTAAATAAAAAAGACTTGCTGAACAGCATAGAAAAATCAGTATTCTATAAACTCAGAAAAGAGAGGTTAAATGGAAATCGGGACAGTATGCATCAATAAAGAGAGAGCAATAAGAGAACGAACATTGTTGAGTGCTTACCCTATGCCAGACATTGTCATAAACAATTTATATTCCTTGTATCACTTAACCTAAAAATAAGTAGGCATAGGAAATATTGTTATTGGGTCACCTGAGTGGTTCAGTCGGTTGAGTGTACGACTCTTGGTTTCAGTTCATGATTTCAGGGTTATGAGATTGAGCCCTGCGTCAGGTTCCACACTCAGCACAGAGTCCGCTTGAGATTCTCTCCCTCTCCTTGGCCCCTCCCCCGCCCATGGGCACCTGTGTGGACTCTCTCTCTCTTTCTCTCATAAATAAATAAATAAATAAATACATAAATAAATAAATAA